GACCTCAACACTGTTGACGTTTTACGGACGATCTGTTGCCATCACACAAAGCCATGCCTATTTGTTTTATTTGTATTCATCACATGCATGAAGAGGTGGACAGTTTAATCTCCATAACGTTGGCGATTCCTTGACAGTCACGTACACACACAAGATGCTGTTGTCGAGAGCGCCGCGGTAATTTTAATTCCGTGGTAATTGTCTGCACATTTTGTCGTTTCGTTTAGAAATACCAAGCGTCGTTGGTATTACGTATTTTAGGCATTTATACATGATCGGAATATTAAGAAATTAACGTCAGTTCGTCTGTCTTTCATGTAATATAACAATTTGAATTTATGATGATTTATGTGGTTAATTGATTTCTTATTACGCTGGTCTAATGATCCTGTTTCAACAGCATACGTTATATAGCAACGGGCGAGACAATGAGACGAGTATCAATGGTGAAAGATACTTACATGGGATCGGTTGTTTCCAAAGTGAAAGTATGTACTTATTCCAGCATTTGTTAGATCAGTGGTTGTCACTTTTGTGCCCTCGTTCAACTTGATACCCCGTAAGGGTTTGTGCTCATGATTTCCGCCCTATGAACTGAATATCTGTTCAGTGAGCCCTCACCACCAAATTTAATCGAATTTTGTTCCGTAGTTTTTAAAATAAGTGAACGAACACTCAAGATCTTTTCATTATTCATTTGTCACAAGGAACGCGTAGAAATACTGCATGATCCTTCGGGATTCTGATTTGTGCCACTCAGACTGGGAGTGCTTATAATATTTTTACTATCACTGTACCTCAATAATAAACGTACGTGTGACGAATTGAATTCCGTACGAATTTATGCTGCACTGTTCGCAAACAAGCACATTCACAAACCTTGATAATGAGAATGGGAAGCAGCGTGTGGTTTGTTCTGTTACATTGCATTCTTTCGCGTGTTAAGAGAAGACTTTTATGCCTGGAATAGGAATAAACGTTTTTCAGACGTCGACTTTATCTCCACACATTCCTTGTAATTTTTAAGCCAGTAGTGGCGTCACCAGGCATTGCGTCATCATTCTTAATTGCGTACCAGCATCGTATTATTCACGATTCAAGATTAATCACCTCAGTTCGCTTACTTCCGTTAACGTAACCTAGCAGCTGTAGCAAGATATGAAAAATGCATATTTTAGAATGTGGCCCCTCGATTTATAACAATGTATAGTGTTGTCGGTGGTTTAACAATGTTTCGGAGGAACATACTGCTTCTATCTTCTGGGTGAACGTTATTTCTAAACGTTGGTAACCACTGACAAGACTAAACTGTGTTACAACGTGGAGAACTACACCTCGAACGATGGCTGCCTGAAGGACTTCTATTATCAAATATTTATTTTATTTGTTCTCTGAGATAAATGACAGTAAAGAATCAACGCGATTATATGCCGTCCTTTATTTTGATGCCAAATTTTTAGTTTTTAGCTCGGATCTATGAATGTTTAGAGAGATTATTTTAAAATAACTGTCCAATTTACGCAAAAATTAGACGCAATTTGTGTTTGAACACCAAGAATAAAGAGTTTAACACGTTAATTTCTTGCTACCGTTCCTAATTATTTTCACTTTCAGACATTTTCGTAAAAAAAAAGTTTTATTCATTTGGCTTTCATCCTGATGATGAGATATGCGATTAATTAATAAACACTTTAGAGGAAAAATCAGTATTAAATTTATGTTATCTTAGAAAATTACAGGGCTACGCAGTGCCATTTGCAGTTGACCAATAGATGAGTGGAGTTTCAAAAACAGAAACAGCAACAGTGTACCAGACAAAAACGAGAATTGTTGTTATGTAGGCGTGCTCACCGTTGTTAACACCTCTGCACGTTACTTTTATCGGAGTGTCCAAATGAAATTATGTCCGACAGACCGACGGACGCTACATACAGTTCTGTTTGAACAGTGAATGAGTTTCTACGTCATCCGTTCTAGCCGATTCTAGACTACATTTTTCATAAACCCTGATGCTGCGTTTAGTTCAGAGCGTTGTTCGTGTGTCTGAGGTTATGAAACTACAGTTGTGCGTAACATATTACCCTGTACGAGTGTACACACTGATTTTCTGTACTTTATAGATTCAATAAACATATACATGTTATACAGAAATGGAGCATCTCTTGTCCGCAGAAATTAGGTATGTCGATTGATTCAGCTTCTTTTTTTCTGTCAGATTAAAAGAAACATGCAAACATTTAGAAAATAATGACTTGGTTCACTGCATAAAATTAACTTTGCCGTTTGTCATTCCTAAATTTAGAATATTTTCGCAAGTGAACGTTCTTAAAGAAACGAGTTCTCGTGGGAGAAAAAAGATGTTTATCTTCATAAATATTTTGTCTTAACGCTGAATGTTCGGCAATAAAATGGTTGCCAAGGAACCAAATTTTATCGTTAGAAGTTATTTTGTTATAAAAGTTAATCGCTTGAAAAGAACGCTACAAATATCGACTCTCCTGTAACGTTTGACCCGTACACTCTGTTGCACTGTGCGAGGCAGTTTTGGACACGTCCCAGAAACCAGTCTCCGTAATTTAGGCAGATTACAAAAAGTGACGACTCTACAGACAGGGGTGTCCAGCTTTAAATGATTGAAGGGTCACGTCGACGCCTTGAGACGGTGTATATAGAAGCAAGAATGGAGTGTTTGTTCGCACTGGGCTTGGTAATGTTCTCTCGAAGATGAAATGTCATTGGTTGTTGTACCGGATGTCGACTGCCTTTTGTTTCGTTGGCAATGTGAGATATCACAAAACTTGATTGTTAGTTTATATTATATTGATTACTGATTTAGAGTTTAAAAAATCAAGGGATGAGCAAAAGTATGATACGTAGCAAATTAAAGTATTACAATGTATTAAAACCGAATATTTCGGTTTGAATGCTAACAAATTTTTAACTAAAAGACCTTCGAAAGGAAACTTTTTTCGATGCTTTGGAATAATTTATGTATTATGCATTTTACTGAGCAAAGCTGTTGGGATTACAAAATATATGGCGTCCAGTGATAGAACGATTAATGACTAATGAATTTTAAGAAAGATCATGAAAGCGGTTACATCATTTTTTGAGGTACTATACCGGCATTTTTCTGGAGGGACTGAGGAAAGTAGTAAAAGAATTAGTCAGGATAGCCGGTCTGAGGGCCGAAATTTGAACCTGGTAACCGAATACGAAGCAGGCGTCGTTGATCGTCCCACTACATCGCGCGTCCTCGGTCTTTTCCAGGTCGTGAACCGCGTTACATTCGACCTTGTCGATTCCCAGGCTGTGCACGTGGATCGCATTTCGATGACTGGTCTAGTTAACGCTAATAACGAAAGCTGTGATATTTATGTGCTGTTGTGGTGAGACTTTTCATGATTTCGTTAATTCTTATAGATAGAATGAGTCATCATGTTTTGCTTTGTTCTTTTGTGATCGCATACCAAGGTTTGCTTACGTGTTTGGAATTAATAAATCCATAATAATGCTAGAATACAGAAGTCTGTTTACATTACTAATCATTCTCTTCATTCCGCTTTCGTCGCCCTGGCTTATTCATTAGAGAAGCATTCTGTTTTGTTTTCTGTAGGTTTCAGTCTACGCTGGCTGATGACAGAACCCCGCCATGGAACAGTGTGTCATTGAATGTGTGGTGCAGTAGTTTATTGCACTGTGCTGGTCAGTTAATTAACTACAGGATTACCTTAATCACGATTAATGTGTGGTTTATGGTGGTCGAATATCAGAAGGGAAGCTATACCCACTCGGTATTTCGAGATGTATATTTTTTTCTGCTAATCATTAAATAAACTAGGTTCTATAAGACTGTTGTTCCCGCAAATACATTCATATTACCGATGGTGAATTGCTGTCCATCACAGTTATTATGTTTTTAACTTATGAATGTCTACATTTACGTTTTTTATGGAGTAGTTTGTAAAAACTTACTGTTGGATGAAATAATTTATTTCAAATGTGAATTTGTTGCATCCATTATTTATTTAATATTACGAATTTGTAAGATTCATGCATTTTTAATACGCTTGTAGGTTTATGGTTCAGATGCTGCCTTTTTTTTTTTTTAGGTGAACAGTTATTAACAGTGCGCCTTGTTGGTAGATAACTCAAGTATTACTGTTAAGTTACAGAATGGTTTTGTTATGCGATATTTATAGTTTTTATTTTTCTGTGAGACCTTTATTAGTTGCACCCACTATCTGTGCTTCATTTAAGTTTTCATAAAGTTCATTTTTATTGCTTATTTATGTATATATATATATATATATACACTCTTTACTGTCCCACTTTTTCGCTATAGCTCACAAAGGAGAGGCTGAATCACTCGGTAACCTGAAATTATCTCTGACAAACATAAAAGGAACTAAATTTCCATTATCGCCCTGATGATGAAGGCAGCAAGGACCTCTGAAACGTTGGTAAGCTTCTACCAGACTGCACGGCGCTGTAAATCCGAAGACAGCCGTTCTTGTACTCACCGTCGTGAGAACATCAAATCCTACTCAGAAATAGTTTCTTTGGAATAAATAGGCCAACCTGTACAGCACCCGATGGACAGACATACACATGTAGTACTGGCTGGTGGACTGCACCTTGAATATCCATGGTGCAAACAAATGAAGTCAGTTTGTTGACATTTTACGAAAGTAAAATGTAGTTGTCATGGACCTCGCAGAAATCAGCGACCTGTGACACGCATTATATCACGAAGTCCAAAGAAGCCGAATTGTTTTAATTATGACGAGGTAAGGTCCGTAGCGACTTGAGGTGTCAGTTTGTGTGTGTGTAATCCATATAGATCTGATACATACATGCTATGTTGTGTAATGTCAAATACTGTTTTTCGTACGCCAGGAGTTAGTTCGGATGGGTTCGTAATCTTTCGGGCGTGTCCGGCTCAATGATCCACTGAACAGGTGCGGAGCGGGGCGGCGAGATCTGTCCACCAGTACGGACAGCTACAGTCATGTGTTAACTTCGAAGAAGTTGAGTACATCTGTGATGACGTTTACACTTGGCCGGCTGCTACAAAATCTAACGGGTCTGTTACGCGTTTCTTGTAACAGCTAGCTTCCTGGTCCATCATCACTTCTACCAGTCAGTGAGCATGGTGATCGGTGAATTGTGGATGCACAGCGAGTTTTTGTTTCAAAACACGACATTATTTGTGGTTGAGTGAGGTTATTTTGGTGCAGTTGTTTCTCATACACAATTCCATAAAACATCGTTTAAAATATGCTTTCGAAGTAGTGACGTGGAAGATCACCTAAAACATGTTAAATTGTTACGCAACACGTGTTTATTTCTCATGTTGTTTAGATAATTGTTTTGCGATCGCCAAAAGACGCCATTAAGCTGTGAACATGTGCGTCAAAGATTGTCATAAATATGTCGGAAACGATAACCGAATGTTCAGTTATCGATACGAAGGTAGAAATACATCGAACATGGAGAGTTTGTGAGAAGTGTTAAGAAATTGTTGCTTGCCGCGTTTTTATTCGAGATTTCAAGAGCGTGATTATTGATTCCGGGTTATTATGCCCTACAAACAGACTGGTTTACAACCAGTGCAAACAAATACAGAATTAAAGTGTGACAGGGAGCATATATTGCTACTGCCATATTTACATCTTGTGTGTATTCCTTAATATGGACTGCTTCAGCTGATTGTAAGCTGAGGATTCATGGATATTAAACGTTCAAAACCGAAACAAAGTGCTTTTGAGTTTGCAGCGTGTCGTTTAACATTTATCTACGGAATTACACTTCACGTTATTTCTGATCCATTAATTTGTATATGTGTTTGATATAACACGAGACGTGGGCCTGTTGTGTCAAAAAGAGGTAGTAAACGAGTTCCTGTAGTACAGTAAAGGGTGAAATTTTAGTAAAATTATTTTGAAATTATATCCGTGTGAAACCACAAATAACGGTTGTCATTATATTGCCACTTACGTTAGAACGTTGCGTTCTGCTATAAAAAATAAAGGTGCGTGATTTATATATCAGTCAGCAAGTAATATTCCTCCTATAAGCGATTTGTGTCCACCTGTTGTCACGCAAGCACTCGATAGTTCCTCTTGGTTGTCATACACTTCTTCCAAGGTAAATACGTAGTAGCTTCTCCCTTTCTCCCAGAGTTACATAAAACACTCTACGTAATTGTGTGAAAATGCCCAGTATCATCACGTGTTTTATTCCATCATAAACGCCAGGTTTTCTTCCCATAAGCCAGAGATATCCGGAAAATTATCTATGTAGATAAATATCTTAACGTACCTCCAAAATACTTTCGAATATATTCTACAATTGCGTATTGTATACTTGAAACGCAACCTCAGATCTTGCAGACATTTAAAAAAATTGCATAATATATGCTATTAGCTTCAAGTACTCGTTCAGAATAATGTAATCTCCCCTTAAGACATGATCACAAAACTTGCGAAGACCGTAAATACTTCTGATAACATTCTAAAGTAGCTGTGGCGAATGGTGAAGTGCTGTAATGATTCCAGGCGTCCTAAAATATGTGACACGAAGACGTAATAATCTTTCATTTACGTAAGCGGCAACGTTATAAGACGTGTGCTGATCGGACAGTACATGTTCGTAATTCCCGTGGTCATAACAGTACTTCTGCAAACGTGGGTGAACTCGAATGTTTTGGAAGATTTCCGTGTGTAATTATTAACATCCCACAAACAAACAAGTGGTTTGTCCCTCGCGGTTTCTTGTCCCGCAAGGCGCAAGAACAGTTAACCGGGTTCAGTGCAACGGAGTCGATGCAGCTCCCGCCATGTCTCTCCCAAAAGAAGGGGAGGTTCTACGAGTTCCCGGCTCTCCTCAGCTCGATGCCCGCAGAGTGCGTGGGTCCTGGCGCGACTACCTGGACCCCGCCTCCACCCCTCCGCCACAACCGCCGACCCTCAGTGAGGAAGAGGAGGACGACGACGACGATGACGCTTGTTGCGTCGTGAGCGCCGAGGCGGACTTCGAACCTTTCTCGGACACTTGTGGCGAGGGTGACGAGAGTGATCTGGAGGGCCTGGACTTGACCCTGTTTGAACCAGCCGCGGCGGCGAGCGTCATCGCCCCTTGTTGCCCTCAGTGTTGTGGACATTGCGCCAGGGAAGTGGCTCGCAGGAATGGCGCCTTGCCAGGAACGCTGTACATCCTCACTACAGTACAGGGCGCCGACAATGGTAAGCATCCGCAATTGTAAACGTTTCAGGGGATGTTTCTTTCGCGGTCTTTTCGCCCTCGAGTTAACAACAAAAATATTTCTATGTAATTCAGTCCGTTAAATATTCTGTTTCAATCTTCGGGCAGAATGTGAGACTATCACGAAATATATCCCTATACATTATCTTTCTCTCCAGGACGGTATTTATTAACGCGCACGCTACTGTTTCTCCACGGCTTTCATATTCTGGAACTAGCAAGAAAAGACTACCCGAGCCGTACATTTGTGTATTTAATTTGTACCTAGATTTTCCTAACATATTATTTTATAAAGTTAGCTACAGTTGCCTCGTCCAATCCTTTAAATTCAAGACGGAATGAACAGAGTATCAGAGTTATTTTTACACATGCTCCATAAAATGCAAACCCGACTACACCAGGTGACGTCAGTATGACAAAACAAGCGATTCCTCTCTCCCCCCCCCCACCCCCATGAAGAACTAACAGAACAGCTTCACAGTCTTTGCTGAAAATGCCCAACACCTTCTCGAAGAAGTACTGGTCGGCGTATTGTCTTCCTTGTCGGGATACGCATTGCCGAATGATTCACGAACAGGAGCAAAGTCTCGAAGCGAAATAAAATTCGGGAACGAACACATTTCTGTTCTTGCTTGCACTGTGCAGGTGGAGTGAGCAGCGGCCTAGCAACAAGGGTGACCTTGTCTCGAATTCACGTGGGAGGTAGAGAGAGAGAGAGAGAGAGAGAGACAGAGAGAGTTACGTGTGGGTTGACCTGCGTATGGTTCGTAGAACGTGCGTTTTAAATGGTACGCTTTGTACAATTCCTCAAAGTGGGGCGGAATTGCTCGATGCACTTTTCACCCTTCGGGTATGTGAGCATGTAAGTTGTAACTCCTCGTAGACTGAGGTCGTTTGAAAATAAAATTCTGACAAACATATTTTGACCCAAAGATCCGGAAGATGGAAATGAATTTCGATTTGTACTCTCAACGTTATTGTTACAGTGAATAAATTGCAGGAGGAGGAGGTTGTTGACAGATGAGAAACGTGTAGGAATGCTTGAGGGAATTCGTAACTTCGGAGACGATAGACGTAGATGGGAGAATGTTTTTAAAACTGATCTTAGGGAAATGAGTGGGAGAATGAGGTGGGTTTGACTGCCACAGGACAGGGTCCAAATGGAGATGCTTTGTGGTCACGGAAATGAACTCTCGAGTTCCAAAAACGGCTTGGGAATTTTGACCAAGTGAATAACTGTCAGCTTTTGATGGAATACCTTGCGCCATTGGGTTTGTAAGTCGTCACTGCTCTTTTATGCAGATTGACAGTATCCGTATGTAAATGTCGGCAGTTGTTAAAAACTAACACGGTTATTGACGGAATTCTCGTAAGACGGCCCACTTTCCATTAACAGCGAATTGTTGGGTCACGGCTGTGCCGTAACCTTGACGCTGCTCCGACCGCGATAGACATCATCTCCCATACTCTTGTGGTCGATCACGTGTTGTGTGATTGATTGTTCTTACGTTGTTAAATGACGCTTTTCACTATAAGTTGTTACTGGTTTCGCACGAGATGAGGTGAACATGAGTAATGGTTAGGTGAGGATGTGGAAGGAGCGGTTGAGACGTATACGAAATTATATTTTAGCGTTATTAAACTGGAGATAATTTCATGTTATTTAACAGAAGGTTAGAAACTCTTCAAACTGTCCGTAATTGGGCTTGCCCCCCGCAGAAGTTGCAGAGATGATGAAATTAACATAAATTAGTGTACATGGAAAATGGCTCGGTGCTTTGCACTACTATAATTATCCTGGTCCTATAATAGACACTCGCTTGGTTGGGGTTGAGAAAGGGTTGCTTCTAGGGAACCGGATCGGGTTAAACTGGGCGTACACGAATTTCCTTCTGTCGACTCATTAGGCTTTGAAACAATAGGGCCTGAGGCAGGCGATTTAAACGAAAACGGAGAAAATTAAATTGTTGAAGAATTCGTAATTTGGATAGGGGACACAAAGAGCGCACATATTTTGGGGGGGGGGGGGAGAACGTATCTTGGAGTGAAATATCAAGATCTGGTTCAATTTATATAACCCGGTTTCTCCGTGGCACCCCAACAATTACTCCATTCACACACAGAAGAAGGCAATGGCAAACCACTTCTGGATCATCTGCCAAGAACGTATATGAACAGGTCCCAGTCCGAGAAAAGGATGCAAGGATCCTGTTCATATGGACCTGTCGTCAGACAGAACACTAAATAATAATAAATAACCTTATGTGTTAGGGTTAAAATTGCGTTGAAGGAGGTGGAAACTCAAGTTAACTCGGGGATGTGGTCAATTTGGGCCCCGTAAAGCGATTGTTGGAAGAGACGCAGTGAGATATATCAATTTATTGAAATTATAAATATTATTCCTCCACTGTCTGAAGGAATCGTATATCATCAGAATAAATGTGCACACATAATGAAAATATTGCATGTTAAAAAAGCAAATTCTTTAAAGAAACAACTTTAACAAATTTTTAGGGTTAAGAATTTGACTGTCAAATTGAGAATTCTCGAAACAAATTTTCTGCGCGAAATAAACCACTTAAGGAAACTGAAACCTTGAAAGGTCTTCGAACTTTATCCTTTTCTTTCCATCTTCGTCTGATCTAATGTTCTTCGCTCAGGCTATAAATAATATGATTGTCTCCTCACATAACTCATTTTAATTAATTTCATCCTAAACGGTGCAGCAACTCAAACCGCATGTCCCCCCCCCCCCAACCCATAGAACTCAGGGAATTAAGATCCCTACAGGGGTTCCTTCCCAAATATTCATTCATGATCATCTTGTTATTTATCGTTGCATAAGTTCGTAGTTGACATTACATCCTTAAATATAAATCAGGAAGTCTCCGTCAAAAGAGTTGCTTCCGGCGTTTTATACTGAAATTCTCCGAATGGAAGTCGACCGTCGTGCTAACTTGTACCAATTTCCTGGAAGAGGAATTGTGTTTTGATCGCACTGTGCCGAACCGCTCCGAGTCCTTGGTCACCATAGACATTCCTTTTATGTGAAAGAACACGTCTATATAAATTGATTCAACCTTCACCGTAACAATGAGATTGGGGCAAGATTTATATCCGCTGCAAGCAGTGTCTGAAACTTTTGTTTTGATCTTAAAACAATTATGCCCATCTTCTTGGAGCTGTCTTCAAGAATTGAAGGTCTTAGAATTTTCTAGTGCACGTGCACAAAGAAGTCGTAATTCATTTTCTGTTCCAGTAAACGGTCATTTTGTGTTTCAGTCGTTGACCGTCGTTTTAATCTAGTAAGGCATGTAAGGACTTCGAAGTGTTTTTGTCGAGTTTCGTGCTATGAGAAATGAACAGTGCGCAGAGCCAGTTGGGTTATGACTGTCACGTGACTGCGTAAACGAAACAGCTGGGGATTCTCTGACAGGGCTTTCATAAAAGTTAATGTCAATGTCGTGCTCGTTGGCTCGAATTTGAACTGCACATTCCAACTTTGAGCAATGTTTTCTTACCCTTATACAACGCATCAGCAGCTGAAATTCTGGGTGCATATATATTACTAGATGGCCTGTGTAAACGATCAAAATCTCAGATGAAGTTTCGACTTGGCCAACCGGACCTGGTGAGACTTGCATAGCGACTAGATAAATTATGAGTGGCGACTTGTTTTTCAAGGTTACCTGTGCTTCAAGTTGATTACTCAGATTACAGATCTTGATTGAAAAAAATAATTATTTTCATTAACATATGGCTGTATGAAATCTTATTCAGAAACCATTTTGCTGATTTTCGTTTCAGAGATTAATAAATCGCTCCGTTTTCTGCTCTTTCTCGCAGGTTACAATAAACACTTCAGACAAAAGTGTCATCGTAATAAGATTTTCGCTGTTACATAGACTACCTTATTGATTTTTTTAAAAAATCAACTTCCTCATCTTCTTTGGTGAACTATTCTGCCAGCATGCCTTGTAAATGGTCCACTCTTCTTTTTAATTCAAAGAAAACACGATATGTTTCGGGCTGTAGCGGTCATTATCAGGAGTTATTAATACAAAACATCATTACACTCCTTGCATATAGATTCTGCCACAAGCAGAAAATACTAATGTAAGACAACGAAATGTGTTTAAGTGACAAGAGGTTAATAACTCATATACCTTCATCATAAGGTGCTCGTAATGACGTATATCTTACACTTCTTTCTAGGAGCATACAGTTAGAGCCACCTTGGACTTCTGAAGCAGATGAGGTTGATTGGCCAATGTTGTAGCACAATCAGCTTCACTTGTCACCAAAGCACACAGTAGTTTGTAACTCTTTAAGTGATATTTAATTCTCACCTGATGTAATGATTGTACCCCCGTTATACGGTTTAATTCTTCACTTAATTTTATTTCTGCAGTGCAGCATCCCAGTGTTTTGTTTATGTTTGTTGAGTCTTGATATTGTTTTCGCTGCTACTTTTTACACACGCCTATCTTGAGTTGGGCAACATTTTCACCCCTCCGGATAGACTCTATAAAGTAACTGTGACTCCGTTTCCAAAGACACGTTTTTGAAAACAGACTAAATGTGATATTAACATTGGGAAATGCTTTGTAATAGACACCTAGAAAGTTCATAGCATTTACGAATGCCCGACCAAGATAGAAAGATGCCGTCAGAATTATGAGTCGCCAAGCCCAGTCTATGGTATCGTTAGATTTTGGTCTATAAAAACTAGTGTCAGCATTGGGAAATCTGTGGCTTCAACCAGCAGTGTCCTAAATAACGTGACATTACTTTCAGTGGTTTGATGATAAAGTTATCTTGTGGTTATAAAAGTTTTTATTAGGAAACTTCATCTATGACAGCAAGGGTAATATTTTTGGAAATTTTATTATGGCTGTATTTCAGATTCTGTAGTCCTATAAATTGTTATGACGGATGAGTTCACAAGGAAACTGGACCAACTACGCTGTTATATGTAGTT